TCTAAATCATTCTAAATCTTCTTTTTTCTTTCTTTCTTTCTTTCTTTCTTTCTTTCTTTCTTTCTTTCTTTCTTTCTTTCTTTTTTCTTTGCTCCCAAATTTTCTTTTCTTTTTAAATATCTTTCTTAATCTTTCTTTTTTTCTTTCTTTCTTTTTCTATTTCTTTCTTTCTTTTCTTTTCTTTCTTTTATGATTTCATTCTTTTTCTTTTTCTTCTTTCTTTCTTTCTTTTTTTTCTTTCTTTCTTTCTTTCTTTTTTCTTTCTTTTGTCCCAAATTTTCTTTCTTTCTAAATATGTTCCAACGTCTTTCTTTCTTTCTTTCTTTTTTTATTTCTTTCTTTTATTTCTTTCTAAATCTGATCCAACGCTTTTTTTTTCTTTTTTTTCTTTCTTTCTTTCTTTCTTTCTTTCTTTCTTTCTTTCTTTCTTCTTTCTTTCTTTTTTTCCCAAATTTTCTTTCTTTCTTTCTTTCTTTCTCTTTCTTTTTTTTCTTTCTTTCTTTATGATCCAAAATTTTTCTTTCTTTCTTATGATCCAACGCTTTCTTTTTCTTTCTTTTTTTCTTTCTTTCTTTCTTTCTTTCTTTCTTTCTTTCTTTCTTTCTTTCTTTTTTTTTTTTTTCCCTTTTTTTTCTTTCTTTCTAAATATATTTCAACTTCTTTCTTTCTTTCTTTCTTTCTTTCTTTTATTTTTTTCTTTATTTCTTCCTTAATATGATCCAACTTTCTTTCTTTCTTTCTTTAATACTTTCTTTCTTTCTTTCTTTCTTTTTCTTTTCTTTTTTTTTTTTTTCCCAAATTTCTTTCTTTCTTTTAATTTGTTCCTTTCTTTCTTTCTTTTCTTTCTTTTATATGCTCCAAAATTTTTATTTCTTTCTAAATATGATCCAGCGTTTTTTTTTCTTTCTTTTCTTTCTTTTCTTTCTTTCTTTCTTTCTTTTTTCTTTCTTTCTTTTTTCTTTTTTTGTTTTTCCAAATTTTCTTTCTTTTCTTTCTTTTTTTTATTTCCAACGTCTTTCTTTCTTTCTTTCTTTTTATATTTCTTTCTTTTTTTTTATTTCTTTTAAATTTGATCCAATGTTTTCTTTTTTTTTCTTCTTTTCTTTCTTTTCTTCTTTCTTTTTTCTTTTCTTTTCTTTCTTTCTTTCTTTCTTTCTTTCTTTTCTTTCTTTCTTTATTTTCCAACGTCTTTTTTCTTTCTTTCTTTCTTTTTATATTCTCCAAAATTTTATTTCTTTTCTTTTCTTTCAGCGCTTTCTTTTTTTTCTTTCTTTCTTTCTTTCTTTCTTTCTTTCTTTCTTTCTTTCTTTCTTTGCTCCCAAATTTTCTTTCTTTCTAAATATGTTCCAACGTCTTTCTTTCTTTCTTTCTTTTATATGCTCCAAAATTTTATTTCTTTCTAAATATGATCCAACGCTTTCTTTTTCTTCTTTCTTTCTTTCTTTCTTTCTTTCTTTTCTTTCTTTCTTTTTTTTCTTTTTTTTGCTCCCAAATTTTCTTTCTTTTTTCTAAATATGTTTCCAACGTCTTTCTTTCTTTCTTTCTTTTATTTTTCCAAAATTTTATTTCTTTCTAAATATGATTTAACTTTTTTTTTTTCTTCTTTTCTTTCTTTCTTTCTTTCTTTCTTTCTTTTTTGCTTTCTTTTTCTTTCTTTCTAAATATTTTTTCAACGTTTTCTTTCTTTCTTTCTTTCTTTTTATATGCTCCAAAATTTTATTTTTCTTCTAAATATGATCCAGCGCTTTCTTTTCTTCTTTCTTTCTTTCTTTCTTTCTTTCTTTCTTTCTTTCTTTCTTTCTTTGCTCCCAAATTTTCTTTCTTTCTAAATATGTTCCAACGTCTTTCTTTCTTTCTTTCTTTTATATGCTCCAAAATTTTATTTCTTTCTAAATATGATCCAACGCTTTCTTTTTCTTCTTTCTTTCTTTCTTTCTTTCTTTCTTTCTTTCTTTCTTTCTTTCTTTGCTCCCAAATTTTCTTTCTTTCTAAATATGTTCCAACGTCTTTCTTTCTTTCTTTCTTTCTTTCTTTCTTTCTTTCTTTTTTCCTTTGCTCCCAAATTTTCTTTCTTTCTAAATATGTTCCAACGTCTGTCTGTCTGCCTGTCTTTCTTTCTTTCTTTCTTTCTTTCTTTCTTTCTTTCTTTCTTTCTTTCTTTCTTCGTTTTTTTCTTTCTCTCTTTCTTTCTTTCTTTCTTTCTTTCTTTCTTTCTTTCTTTACTCTCAAATTTTCTTTCTTTCTAAATATGTTCCAACGTCTGTCTTTCTTTCTTTCTTTCTCTCTTTCTTTTTTCTTTCTTTCTTTCTTTGTTTCTTTCTTTCTCTCCTTCTTTCTTTCTTTCTTTTTTCTTTCTTTCTTCGTTTCTTTCTTTCTCTCTTTCTTTCTTTCTTTCTTTCTTTCTTTCTTTACTCTCAAATTTTCTTTCTTTCTAAATATGTTCCAACGTCTGTCTTTCTTTCTTTCTTTCTTTCTTTCTTTCTTTCTTTCGGAAATTTAACTATGTGGGAAGTATTATAATAGACGACGAAATGTGTCATAGATGTAACCAAAGATGACTTCATAAAACTAAGCAAAGTATTAAGTAACAGATTAAAACTCGTTAAACACAGAGGAAAGAGAGCTGAACTGCAGAAAGGATCCCCAGACGAGAGGATTGAAAAACATTCTACCTGACCCCGTTTTACACGGGATCTACGGAGAATTTTTATGCCGAGCCTACGGGGTCGGATAACCCACATTAAATAAGGCCTTGTGCTACATCTGACCAACTGGGGCTGTTGGTAGATATCCTAGATTTAGAAATTCGTCACCAGCTGTACTGGCCAAGCTTTCTGCATCCAGGCAGAAAGTATCCCCAGACGACGCTATGATATCCCAGAGTTGGAGATTCATTTTGGAATTCGCTTGACTCACTTCTAGCAGTTGACTACTACTTCTACGCGCCGCTGCCGAATCTGATATGTCTTGTTCTTGTTCTTTGTATTATCGTTCATTTGCAACCTTCATTTGATTATTCTAATCTGTAACCTTACCAGGGTTACCACACAGGATATATTGAAGGCAAAGAGGAATAGATGGAAACGGAGGAAACTACCTAACTAGTAAATTGCATACAAAACAGAATAATGGGTTGGATTTTTAAAAAGATAAACATTGGTAATAGCCATGAAGGAAAGAAAGTTGTGGATGACATGTTTTTTGTCATGTTTTTGTTGTGGAGAGACATGTTTTTCGTCATGTTTTTTTTTTGTGGAGAGACATGTTTTTTTGTGGAGAGACATGTTTTTCGTCATGTTTTTTTGTGGAGAGACATGTTTTTTGTGAAGAGTCATGTTTTTTGTGAAGAGTCATGTTTTTTTGTGGAGAGACATGTTTTTCGTGATGTTTTTTTTGTGGAGAGACATATTTTTTATGGAGAGACATGTTTTTCTTCATGATATTTTTTGTGGAGAGACATGTTTTTGTGGAGAGTCATGTTTTTTGTGGAGAGACATATTTTTCGTCATGTTATTTTTTGTGGAGAGACATGTTCTTTGTGGAGAGACGTGTTTTCTTTGGGGAGAGACATGTTTTTCGTCATGTTTTTTGTGGAGAGACATGGTTTTTGATGAGAGACATGTTATTCGTCATGTTTTTTTGTGGAGAGACATTTTTTATAGAGAGACATGTTTTTCTTCATTTTTTTTAGCAATTCTAAACGAGAAATCTATTAGAGTAATTATTTCTTTATAATACGCATTTATGTATAATTCACACACTGACGTTGATCTACAAAATCCTATTTAAATATCTCCTGTATAATACGCACGTATTCTGGAATTTGTAGCAGCTAAAGTTAACTTGTGTTTAAGATTTAAAATTTTTTTTGTCCGTTTCATGATAAGAATTTATTTAGTTTTTATCATATTTTGAAGCACGGCGGCAAAAAATACTTTCAATCGCTTTAATATTGGAATACTGGCAGAAATTTTCCTGAAACTATCATAGCAAAGACATTTAAAAAAAATACGCAATCACGAACGCACTGGGCTGAAGTGAAGGTGTCATCCTATTTTAGGAAGACGAACAAGATGGCTCTGTGGACGATGACGAAGGCATCTACAACGCATATAATGCATGAAACTGTCATGGTGTCAACCCTTGACACAGGCAGCTAGGGAATCAACTAAAATGAACTTAATATATATACGATTAAAATACTTGCAGGGATTTAAACTTTTTCTTACACATTATTTAGTTTAGATCAGCGCTTCTTAAAGTTTTTCATTCATGAACCCATTTTTCATGGCGAGTTTTTTCTCGACCACAGGTATTAACAAAGTGCACTGAAAATGCATCCGTTGTCACTGCATTAGTTGCAATAGCACCGCACGCGCGTTTTATTACCGCAGGGCTTGTGTACCGCGTCACGTTAAATATGGGGCGTCTGTTAAATAACATATAAACTGAAATTTGTTTGAATTTAATTTTTGCGACCCCAGCATTTCGCTTCGCAACCCTATTTGGGGTCGTGACCCATACTTTAAGAAGCGCTGTTTTAGATCATAGAAATAAATTATTTTCGGCAATAGCATCCCAAATATGGTGACGCATGCGAACGGAAAAAAAAAACAAACAAAAATATGTGTGTATAAAAAGCAGACGTCAGTGAGTGCGAGACAGTCGCCTCACAGACCAAGAAGATACCTGAGACAACAGAAATGTTGTTCTACAGAAGGATGCTGAGAATACCATGAACGGAGCATGTGAGCAACAAATAAGTTTTAAGGAAAATGGAAACAAAAAAAAAAACATTTATGAAGACTGTTCCAATAACTTGGACCGAATTTAAATGTGAATTAAGTTTAAACGTCTAATGATTTTTTTTTCTTTTGCTCTCAGATTTGACGGATATTTGGGCGATATTATTTTTCACACATAATTGCCATGACATAAATAACAGGATCCAATAGAGAAATAAATAAATATTCACCAATAGCATTGATTTATTTACTGCTGACTTTGATCCGTCTTAATGAAACACCTTTATATATAATTCATCTTAATGAAACACCCTTTATTTAGAATTAATCTTGGGTACATAATGAGGACGGAGTGTTTGGAAAATTTGATACTCACAGGACATAATGAAAGCAAGATGGACAGGGGAAAACAGCGAGTAACTTTCATAACAAGTTTGTGCCAACAGACGACAGAAAAGGTAGTTAGAGGTTTGGTTAAAAGTAAACCCCACTGAGAACTACAAAGGATAGAAAGATATGGAGAGCCATGATCATCCACCAACTAGTGGGTGACGGAATATAGATGAAGATGAACGTTTAGGCTTAAGTATATACGTGGGAAGGAAGTGCGTATTACACACGAATAATTAAAGTAATTAATATTAGTAGAAATCGGATATGCCATTTTATATTCAGTAAAATTATTATTGATAAAGTTTAAAAATAAATGTTAAAAAAAAACTGCTTATATGAAATTTATATTTTAAGTCGTTACCGTGAGGAGTTTTTTGTATGTGATTTTTTCATAAACATAAGTGTCCTAAATCATGAGGGTCGTAGGAGCACCGCATGAACTACAGCTGCAGCAGGAATGATGTTCCTTGGGCAGCATACCACAAACCTCTCCTGACTGTTTTGAATTCAGTGTTCTCTTCTCCTATATTGCAGATCTCACTCTGTCTTGCTATTTACCTATAGCAAGAGAAGGGGTAGATTCAGACCTTTCCGCAGAGATATAACCTTGTCTTGCCTTTCATAAATGTCCTTCCAGACGTTATCAGTCTCAGCTCGGTATCTACGCTGATGACGGAACTATTTACTTCTGTCTGATGGGTTCGATAAAGTCAAATTGACAGGTGATCTAAAAAAAAATAACCTAGAGTTCGTTGTTAAACTGGGCTTGTTAATTTTAGAACCCCAAAACGAAACATCTCTCTTTTAATAACCTTATATAACCCTTTTTACCTTCCATCAGTCGGACTGATGCTAACCTACTGAAGATTGACACTGTGACGTGCGGGACAATTTTCCCGCCATAAACCATCTTATAATATTTATAAGTCTACCCTTTGTACTTGCCTTCAATACTGCTGCCCTAATCTAGTGCAGCTGCTATAAATTTTAGGATTCGTGATAAAATACAAAGAATCTGCAATTTTATTAGTCCTGACTTGGCATCTCGGCTTCTGTCCCTTCCCCGCTGCCGAAACGTGGATTCTCTGAGCGTTATTCCATAAAGACTTTCATGGCCATTTTTCTAATAAGCTTTCCGCTATTCTACCTAGAATTCATAAATTTAAGTGCAGTACTAGATTGGCAGCTAGGTCTCATCATTTTAATTGGCTAGATGAAACCGTAAGTTTCAGTGCTAAAAGCGTCTTCTATCCCACCTATCGCTTGCAGAACTCAACTTCTGGCTCCTTGCTTTCCAGTTGACTTTGAACTTTAATTTGTTTTTCTATAAGCATTCCCCCACCCAGGCAAGGCAGGGGTACCTCTAGTACGCAAGAGGTTACAGTGAGTGAAAGTAAGAGAAAAGACTGGGTATAGGGGGGGTAAGAAAAGGATAAGGAGAAGAACAGAGAACGATTAAAGAGAAGAACATAAGATGTTGATTGACATTACATTTAAATTTCTGAAGCAAGGAAGAGGAAGGAAGTTCCACTGTCAGGAAGTGCAAGAGAAGAAGCTATTGGAGTAGAAGAGACGGTCACATTTGGCTGTTTCGACAGTAAAAGGGTGGGACCGAGATTCCAGCTTAGTAGCACGCTTAAATTCATCGAGTCGGGGCACCACTTGTCAGCGCACATACCATTAAAATATTTGTAGAAAAGACAGAGGGAAGCCACATCACGTCTCTGAGAAAGTGACTGGAGTCGAGACCCCAAGTAAGGACCGATTACATTGCATATCCATCTTTTGATTTTGTCGAGAACCTCGAGATGAACAGCGGGAACACCAGACCATATATGGCAACAGTATTCCATACATGGACGACTGGTAGATTTGTAGATGTGAAAGATCGACTCAGATGAGAAAAACCTTCTGGTACGACACAGAGAACCAACTTTCCTTGCGATAGATGCAGCTATTGATTCAATGAAGTTATTCCACCTCAGGTCAGTGGTAAACGTGAGACCAAGAAGGAGAAGTGAGGCGCCCTTGTGAAGTTGAGCATCAACCATCCTGACTGGAGGCAGGGAGTTTTCTCTATAGTGAGTAAATGACAACAGTTTCGTTTTGGGTGCATTAAAAATTTAAGAACCATTTCTTGCCCCAGTAAACCACAGATTGAAGGTTCTTTTCGAGATCAATAGCTAGATTAACTATCAATAATCCCGGATTTATTATTGAGACAGTAGCAAATGTTAGTGTCGTCTGCATAGATGCCTACTTAAGAACTGATATCAGGAAGAGCATTGATGAAGATCAGAAACAGAGTCGAAACAAGGATACACCTTTAGGGAACACCATCGTTCGTAGAGAAGGAAATGGA